GAGCTTGCTTGGAAGAAATACGCTTACTAATTTGTAAACGTATTAAGGAGGCAGTATCTGAAATCAAAATTATGCCAGAGTCTTCTGTGGGTCTCAGCACATACTATTGGGCAATAGCAAGTGTGTTGTTGGTTTCGCCTTTGTAACAAGATTTGGGTAAAAAACTACTACGAATATGATTGTCAGGGTTTTTTTTGGTGAAATTCTGTAAGAACATTAGGCACTTTTTATTGGAAAACACTAACAGATAGCGGGCAGATGACCTGAGATTTTACCTGTCAGTTTGTTCAGTGAAGAGCAATCTTTGGAGCATCAGACCTAAAGGCAAAGATCTAGACTTTGAGACAGCAATCTCTGCTTGGTTTGGTGGGTGAAAACAGGGTCCAGAGATCTTCAGGGGCTCTTTCACATGTCTCCTTATTGTTCTGCAGAAAAGAGAAGACGAAACAATGCACCATGGGAGTGACGCACCTTTGTGAGTAATGCCCACAAGGGAGGTGGTTCATTGCCAGAATGGTATGACTGGCGCAGCCAACTTAAAGGAAGAACTGAGTTGTACTGAAAGCATCAGTGATCAATTATTTATTGTCAAAAGAAAATAGAGAAGCTGGCCCACATTGTCAGGCTACAGCATATATTCCCCAAGAGAAACCATAACAGGAGTATTGACAGCTAGTACAGGAGGATTGCAGAGCTCAGGTAATAGTCAGAATAACAGCCTTTAATAAAATAGTTACACAAGATTTTAAAAAGCATGTGTGGAAACAGCACCTTGATGTTTGGCCTAGGATTTCTACAACTGAAATTAATTATTTTGTGTTACTCTCAAGTTTGCAAGTAATGCAAGCTCTGCCTTGTCACCTTCTCTTGCTGCCAATGGTAGGCAGAACAGGAGGCAGCAGAAGTGCTTCTGGTCAAGAGTGATGCTGTGGGTTGAGATTATGAGTGGGGGAGAAAGAGAAGGAGAAAGAGAGAGATCATGTATTCAACCAAGTGCCTGTTGTGGTCTACAAAACTTTCTCCAATGTTACAAGACACTCACTTCCTAGTATCTGGCTACATGTGGGTTTATCTTGGGATGGGGAAGCATCAGAAGCCTGACTTGACTCCCTAGTGCTACAAACCATCACTACCTGGGTCCTTATTAGACAGCCCATCAGATACTCTTTGCTGACTGGAGAACTGCTGCACTTGGGGGAGTATCTGATGTGGAACCTGTGTTAAAAGCTTTATACCCAGGAGGTCTTCCCTTCATCAGTCCCAAGTCTTTCCTGTTAGAGTCCTGTGGTTTTGCTATGCAATGCACATGGAAGACAACAAAGGCTCATCTATTTTCTTCAGATCTACCTGGCTTGTTTTGGAGTGTTTGTATTGTACAGATCTCTTTTTTGCTCCTTCTTTCCCTTTAAACAGGTATTAGCTCTTCAGTACTTGCAGCAGAAGAGAAGGGACTAAGTACGAAGACATATTTTATATACTTTATGTACACTAGAAAAATTTGTAAGGAATTTAGAGATAGCTTGCATCAGAATGATAGTAATTGCCTTTCTAAACATTAGCATATAAAAATATACCAAATTGTGTTCACGGAGTAGAAGAAAATACACTGTAGTCATGAAAACCTCTGAAACCAACTGCAGCTAACTGCAAATAAAGTCTAAATAAGAGCATGCGAAGGAACACATTGAAAAGCCTGACAATGAGTGGCCTTAAAAACTGTTGGTATGAAAATTCACCCACAGCGCCTCCTCTGTAAGGCAAGTGTGTGATTCTCTTTCCTCCTTTCCTCCCATCCCCAACTGTTCCTTGTCAGCACTCTTCTGTGCTTTAGGCTATAGCAGTGGCTGAAAAGGTCGTGTTAATTTTCGCCCCTGCATGGATATGAGACAGTCAGTAACTGGAAGAAAAAATACTGTCTTTATTACTCGTGCTGTCAGATTAGATGCAGGAAGTGTCTGATCTTTAAGCTGTTGCATGATAGAGTTTATAAATTGGTAGAAATCTGAAGACAGAGTGAATAGGTCACCGAGTGTAGTTTTAAAACCTGCTGTCTTGTTGGATTTACAGAACTTGAAGACTTCTGGTAATAAACACGCTTATGATGATTTGATAGCTGTTGTTGTCTTTCATAAGGAAATTCTTTCCAGAGTTCGTACCACCAGTGGAATACATTTGCAAAACCCTTTTGTAAATATTTAGTCTGTTAATCTTCAGGATGATTTTAAATGCCACCTACTGGTACAATTTAACTTACTGCATTTTCTTTTCATTTACAGACATTACGGTGACAAGATAGGTCTCACAGTCAGAATTGTGTTTTCCTCATTATCTCAGCTTTGAGAGATTTCATGCCTGGAACTTCATTACTCCATCTGATACTGTGAATCTTTATGCAGTTAATTAAATCTTTCTTTGGATACTTAGGTTTCCCAGCAAACAGTGTTTCCCTGAGTTCTTGACAAATAAGGGTCCCTTGACATTTAATTTGCGGTGACACAATCTTAGGTGTAAATTATACCTCCTATGTCAGCCCGCACCCCACTGAGGTATCTTCATGGAAGACCATGTGTAGGCAGTCATACCAGCCTTCCCTCCAGATACCCACATATAGAAGGTAGTTTCATTTATGCAGAGGTCCCCTAGAGGAGTCTGAACAACTGAGCTTTCTGAGGGCATGTCTTGAATTAGTGCCTCTTCTCGTAATGCTGCCTGAACTCCTTCACAGGCAACACTGCTCACTGGGCTTGCTGTATCGGACCCATAAGTAGACTCATCCCATGGCAGGCTGGGACCTTCATGTCGAAGATGACAGAGTTGAAGTCCTTGGCAGCCTGTGCTTTTGTTCCTGGTAGGCTTTGGCAAACTTAGCATGAGGTGGAGCTGAATGGGGTTAGGTGCCTCCTTTAAAGTGTTATATGCACTTTTGGCTTATTCTACCTGTAGGTATTTTTGTTAAGCTAGGCCCCCAGATCTTTTGGAAATTATGTGGTGTGTTCCGTGTTTTGTTTCATGAGAAGAATAATCAGGAAAAATATTAGAGAATTAATCAGAAGGGAAACTGCCATGCAGTATATGATGACTGTGAACGTGGTATAGGAAATAAAAGAGAAAATGACTGTCTTCCTACAATTCAAGTTCTTTATCAAGGTGGATTGAATGTGGACTAATAATGTATTTCTGGGAAAATGCTATTTTGGGAAAAACAGAACAAAGAAACGAATATCATCTGAACGGTGAGGAAGAACAAAAGAAAAAAACCCTATAAAATTTGATTTTATCATATCCCAAATGAAACATTTCAATTTTCCATTTCTAAATCACATTTCAAGACGAAATTCAGTAGAAGGTAGAACAAAACGCTTATCTACTGTTTGAATAAAATGTTATTTCAGCCCCCTGTGACATGCTTTCTTTTTTTTCATTTGGCCAAGCAAAATGAGTTTTTCCCTTGTTTTATGTGTGTGGTTTACTAGTTTAACTGAGAAAATAATACTTCTCACGTTCTTCTCTTACTGAGTTCCAGGCATAGGACTGGATGCAGAGTATGGGAAAATGAATGGTTTGGGAAAGAAAACAGGAGAGTTTTATCCTCAAATGAAGTAGCATTTATTTTGTGTGACTGACCAGGGATATAACATAGTTTTGCTCCTGCGAGTTTTCAGCTGGATTATGGGTGAGATTTAAATAATACATTACTAATCTTTGGATGTAATAGCTTCTCTAAAAATAGGGTTGGATTATCAAGATTAATGTAATCTTTGTAGCTTTTGTTATTATTTGGAATGCAAGACATTCAGTCTTTAGTGCTGGAATTGATGATATTTTCGTATCTATTTCCAAGAAAAAGAAACGTTAAAAGGATAATTCAAGCATCTGTTAAAATGCAGCAGACAACATTTTAAAAGTGAATACATCCAAACAGCTCCATAGAGCAAAGGATAACACTTTTAAATTAAAATCGTACTATGAGGGAAATTTTCTGTCTCAATTATTATGTGTGCTTAGTTGAAACCTACATGAGTTTCAGCTGGTTGGTTGTTCACGTTCAGCTCACTGCACACCCTAAGGACTGCATGACACATTTTGTTTACGCTGATGATCAGCATCACTGTTGCACAAGCTTGTTTTCTGACAGTTCCAAAAGGGAATTATAATTGTTTACCCTTAAGCATGACAGTAATATAGTATGATTGAAAACAAAAATGTCTCACTTATTCATTGAATGATTTGTATTTGATAAAAGGACATTTTTTTCCTTTGGTGTTATTTTTTAGCTTCTGTGAATTTCTTAAGCCCTAGACAGAGCTTTGAACCTTATTGATCATGTCACCAGCATTCACTGAAGAAAAATACCAGTTACTGACATCAGTTACAATTACATAGTTTACAGTGGTACAAGAGACATTATTTTTACAGTTACAAAGTTTCATCTAATAATACCTTTTTTGTGTGTGTGTGTACATAACATGAGGTGCTGGGTTTGTGTGTTTCATAACCTTGTAGTTTCTGAAAACCAAACTTAGTGTGTTGGAATTAAATGTTTAGAGTTTTTGCACTAAATCTTGTATATTTCAAATCTGACACCAAAATTGTAGTGGTACCTGATTCTCATGAATCCTTGTCTCCATCCCTACAATAAAGTAGCTTTCTAGCTTGGGTTCAGCTGAGTAGTGTAATTTCAAATGAGCTTTAAAACAGTCTGTATGGGAAATCACACAACTAAGTACAGTATTGATTTATTAGAACCCTCAAAGTCATGCTTTGGGGAAGATGAAGGAGGGAACTGTTTTAGCACAACTTTTGATAAAATAAAGGCAGTGTGCTCCAGTCAAGAAAGCAGGCCTTGTAGCGTTAAGAGTAAAAACATGTCTGGCTGCCTCAGGTTGCTTGTGTGCGTGTGAAGCACAAGGCAGCAGACACACAAATGTAAATACCACATCATCCATTGAATGTCTTTTATACATCTGTACCTGACTGAATGTGCCATTGCTGTCTTTCAGAAATATCGACAGTATATGTCTGGACTTCTCACTCCTCCTTATGGTGTTATGGAAACCGGCTCCAACAATGACAGTAAGTATGAGAAAATAGATATCAGATGTTAGAAAAAAGGGAAAGATAAGAAAGGGGAAGATGCAAGTCCTCTGGTTTTGGGTGTTGGAATTTTAATGTTAAATTCAGTTCAGTATTAAGACTGTATTAATACTGCATATAGTAGGAAATACTTTGGAACTTGCCTAACTGCCTTCCCAACTGTATAAAAGTGTACACAGAGCTGTACACAAATCTGCATTATAAGCCAGGCCTGATGACTAAAGCATACTGTATGATGTCCTGTAACATTTAACTGGTTATAGGTGTTACATGAATTCCATGGAACATGGCCATGAGTCCTGCTAGTAAAATAAATATAACCAAGTGGCTTATTTTTTTAGTTAGGATGGGCTACACAACTTCCTTGGGAACCTAGGTTAGTGCTTGGGCAGACAGCCTGCAGTAAACATGCTGCTGTCTGACCTTAGTTACATAGCTAAGTAAGTTTGGGTATGTCTCTGCCTCATGAGAACCTGTCAAACTGTGGGATAGTGCTGTAGACATGAATCCAAGGGCAGCCTTTGGAACTCATCACTTCTGTAAATCACGGTACTTTTGTTTAGTTGCCAGAGGATTATTTAGATGCCAATATAGGACAATATCTGATGGCTAGCCATTGCATCTGCAAATTTTGTCCCATATGTTATGTGTTCAATATGTTCTATTTGTGAAACAATAGCATAGCATAGCATAGCATAGCATAGCAATGCTAGTTAGTGCAAACTCAATGTCGTGTTTGACTTCCAGGTACTAAAACATAGATAATGTTACATGAAAAAATATAAATAATTCAAATATTAAGTTGTGAGAAAGTACTATGTTTAGCAAGCTGTTTATAGTATTTACAAAAGTTAGCTTTTTGTCTTTTTTGTATTCACAAGAGAAAGCTTTTGTCTGAATAAATCTGTTTTGCTCTTAATAAAATCATAGATTAATGTGTATGTTATCGAAGTATTGAACCCTCCAATTCCTTATTCTATTGATAAATATCTCCACTGTTACTTAAAGAATGTATGGTATGTATTTATTTTCTGTGTTCTTTTTTTAGGAATGCCAGATAAGGACAGTATGTCAGGCAGTGCTCTTTGCCAAGTTTCTAAAAATTGTAATAAGGTAAATCTCACCTAGTTTTGCCTTTGTTTTTTGATGGGGGGTGGGATTTGGTAATGAAAAATGCAAAGTATAGCATTAAATTGTAAAGAACCATGTGCAAATGCAAAGCATGTGGTTGATGCATGTGAATACAATATCCAAATAGTAAGGATGCTTTAGACGTTGTATCATATAACTGGAGAAAGCAACTGGTTCAGCATTATTAGAAAGTGTACTGCTGCCGAAGTTTGTGTTACAACCTGGTTGTCCTATCTTTGTAAGAAAGGTGCTGAGGGTAAAGAAGAAAAGCAGTATTGTGACAAGACCAGTGCATAGCCAATGGATCATAAAATTCATAATTAAATCCTCTTTTAAGGCTTAACTGAGTCTTAACTGATGCATAGGCATTGTTCTGGACCTTTGCTCAGGGTGAATTTTCTCCTGTGTTCAGAGAGCAGCTTTACGTCCCAGTTCCCCTTTGTAAAATAGTTCTGTGCCTTCAGTCTCACCAGATGAGGATCCGCATGAAAGAACTTATGAATATTTCTATGCTGGGTTTAAAGTAATTATCATAGTGGGAAGAAATAGTATCAGGCATTGCTGTAAAGATTAATAACTTTTAGATTTTTTTATGGCAGGAGTAGAAAAGTTACAGTAACAAACAGATGCTTGGATGCCTTCTTTCTGGACATAGGAGTTTAATTGGATGCATTTCTGTGATGTCTTTAAAAGGTTAAAGGTATTTTTGTTACACAAAAAACATCTCTTGACAGCAGATAAAGACAATGAATATTTTAGTGTGTTTCCTTAATGCGAAAATAACTACTTCCACCTCTCCCTGTCTGTCTGTCCTGCTTCCTCAAGGGTACTGACCTTTCTTAATTGTCACATTCAGCCTTTATTAAATGTATAAATGTAACGGTATGCAGTTCCTTTTTGTAGAGTCTTATTCACTAATGCTATACCACTTCCTGACACAGCCTTATCCTGTATGAAAATAAACATTTTTCCATGCACTGAGTAATAATTCTTAGATACTTAGATAGCACCTTTCATTCTGTAAGCATTTTTCAAACAGTTGTGAGTTAAGACTCAGTGCTTCTCTAAGATGTTGGCATTTCAATGCCACACTTGGAGTTAAGCCAGATCAGGGGTCTTGCTTGACCTCTCAATGAAAGCACCAGGTGTAGAATCCAAACTAAAAGATGATGATGTATTTTCTGAAGCAGGTAGAGGTAACAGATAGAGGTAACAAGGTAAAAACATCTGTCTTTCCTAGAAGGTGATATCCCCCCTCTAATGGGTAGTGATGCTCAGCTAAGGGTGGTATACACTTTCAGGTACAAAGTGTTTTAGAAACTGAGCATAGTTCAGTGATTAATACTGCTAAATAGCTGGGCTTTTCTAGCACAACAGGACTCTTCCTGCACAAAGTAACGTTCACCTGAGACAGAACTTGGCTGGGGCAGGCTCGAACTGTTCAATGATTTTTACAGGAATAAGGTCCTTTGTAAACCATATTAACTTCCTTTCCAAGACACATACATAAACCAGCCATCCTTCTCCCTCCCACACTGTACACATTTCTGTGGAGAGAAGCTGAGAGAGTAAATATGTGACAGATGCTTGTCACCTTGTTTCATCCTGGAGGAGCTCAGACAGTCCCATGACAAATGTAGCAGAAGAACCTACACAGCATAGAAATGGTTCATGAATCCTAGTTCTGTGCTTTTGCCATATGGCCATGGTTCTCTTTAATTACGTTAAGTTAAAGGTAAGTGCAGCAGAGATAAATGTGTGAGTATTTAGCTTCATTCCCGCAATTTTAAACTGTACAACTGTTATAGTGCTTACACGATATGTCGATCTTCATGCCCTGCAGTCAGTTTTGAATGATCAGGGAGATACTGGGATTGCAGGGCCAAATTCCCAGAATTGTTGCCAGCTCTTCGAAATACAAAATAACAGGGTACCAGAAAACAGCCCTGTGTTTGTAGATTTTATATATTTTGCTTATATTAGGGTGATGTATGACTGTCAAAATGGCTACTGCATCAGGGAAGGGCATTCATCCAGGGAAGGGGAAGTGTTTGCAGGACATCTTCAGATTACTTTATATCATTAGATTGCCAGAATGATGCCTGTGGGACTGGCAGCAAATACAGCTCAGAGAGGCCTGCAGGCTACTCTGTAATGTCCAGAAAAAGACTGAGTGAAGAACTTTCTGAGATTCAGAGAAAGTTCCTCGAAATCTTTCATATGGTAAGAAAAAATTACACTCTTTGACAGAAGGAGATAATATAACATCTTCGGTAGTTCTGATCATAATGATGCATTTATTTCGGGGGGTATGTGTGTTGTTTTAATTTTATAACTATAAATAATTTGCTTCAAATTAAACTTAATATATTCCACTCTTGAAATACGAAATGCATGCTTTTCTCTTTTAGCCTGTGCTGAGTCTTTTACAGGCACTGTAATAGATGATTTTCCATATTTGCTAATTATTTGAGTTTCATCTTCATGGCTTAATTTTTTTCTCCTGTCACATCTACTAGTTTTTGATGAGTAACACAAGATTTTTCTTTTAATACATGCCTTGAAATTTTCTCACCATATGGGGATGTTTGGTTTTCGTAGTCCATTAAAATCTATAAAAAAATTCTATTTGGAGAAGGCAGCAAAGACATTTTCTTTTACCAAACACGAATTCATTTGCATTTAGGGTTACATTATTGCACATCATTTAATGCAATATAGCAGTTAAATTGAGCATAAAATACTGAGACAGAATATGCTACTGTCCTCAGTTATATTTTGGGGAGTGGAAACAAAGTGAATTTAAAGCTGTCTTACATAAGGGAAAATAACACAGCTTCAGTCTTTTTAACTAGTCAGTCTAATATCTGTACACCAGTCTCTTTAGCTCTAGTTTTTGAAAATTCTCATGGGGTAAAGTCGGATATAGCTGGATCTGTGAGATGAAAATAATCTTAAAGCCAAAATGACAAAATCAATAATAATTTCAAATACATTTTTGGAAAAGATACAGAAGAGTACTTAGAATGCAGGGGAGGTCAGGTTCCAGCGTGCAGACAGAATAGGTAGTGGTTCTGTTTCGATACATTACCAGCAGAGCTGGCAGCAGGGTTGCATGGTGCTTCCCACTACAAGATCCTCTTCTTACAATCTGGCCACTTTTTCACTGTTTATGCTGAATTTGCCACGCTGATAGTATGCTTCTGGCTGATTTTTAAATTGAAATGGATCAAACCTCTCTGACGTTGAGGTTGGGGGAAAATACATAGCACATATTAAATAGCTTTTCTCAGTGATACACTAGCAATCCTGTCCTTAGGAGTAGGAGCTCGACATTTGGGGCTTGTTCTGGCATAAGGAGTGCCATTTGTGACCCCCTACAAAATAGACCGTATTGTTAAGCCTTGAGAAATCTCAGTTGAAGCTGGCTCACTAGAGGCTTATTACAGTGTAACTGCAAGCTTGTGCACACAGGCTGTGTGCGTTGCATGTGCAGAATTCCCACACTGTTCATCTTTGGTCCTGGGCTGCTTGAGCATTCCTGTGTCAATGCTTAACAGTGTGGCTTTTCTCGCAATCACTCATTCTAGTTACTAGAGCAATGTTTTGATTATTATAAAGCCAGACACTAACTGAAAACCACAGTTCTCTCCTCTGTGCTTTTACACTCTCTACTGGTGCCCAAGTAGGAAATGAGTAAAGAAATAGCCCATTCTTCTCTGGAGACATGGGATATATGATAGTTTTAAAGAAGAGGGCATTGCAGAAATGAGTTGTAGAGACACAGGAATGAATATGGGTAAAAACAGAGGACAGACCCATTGAGACCGTGAATCTCCGCTCTCTTATGGAGCGTGATGCTGAATGCTTTTTTCTGCTATCAGTAAATGTCTTAAACTCCGTTGCAAACTGTGGATGCTGTGCCTAAGAAAGCGTAGGAACGATCCACAGAAAGAATAGAAATCTGTGATTAGTAACAGTTATTCTATTTATTCAAGTAGTTGATAGATTAAAAAGTCCTAACACTGCTAAAGATCCAAGCTGAAGTTTTACATTGTTTTCCATAATGGAATCTCCATATTGCAGTTTGCTAAAAGAACCCCTCCACAATTCTGCTTGAAAGGAAGGCTGAAAAATTAAGTGCTCAAAAGCAGAAAATTTCAAGAATGGAGGCTGACTGAGTAGTGTTAATGAAGTCCTCTTATCCGTGTTTGTTATGGTACGGACTTCAATTCTTCGTGTTTATTATGGTACAGACTTTGATTACCTGCTCACATATATTTTTCCTGTGACACACTCAATTAAAACAACATCTCACCTCAAAAACCATGCCAGCTTTCCTTAATCTCTATGACTGTTTAAAACCTACATAAATTTGTGCCTTCTTCATTGAAAGCATACATCGTGAAAGGGGGAAAGTGCTTCTTCATTTCCTTTGTACTGAGGAAACCATACTGAACAGAGAAGATATAAGCAGATTAAGTTGTGCAAATTCATACAGTCATTCTTGCTATTGGGTGAAGAATATGTCTTTTTTTCCGAAAACTCTTTCATGCTTTATTTCCGTTGTGTTCCCTATATTGTTTTTAGGTTTCTGTTGTGATAAAGAGTTGCAGGAGCTCCCCCTAGTGCACGAAGTAATATTCGAAAAACACCTGGATCGAGTTTGTGACTGTTACAGGCTGAAACGTCCCCTTTATGTTTTTCATGTAATGACTCCAAATCCTCTAGACTGGAAGTTTATTGGAAGTGATTTATTTGAAGATATCTTTTGTAGCAAAGCTTCTATAGTATGTGCTGAAATACTCCTGTGAAAGTTACTTTTTCATCCATCTTTTTCCCTGGTTCATTTGATGTGATAAAATGTAGATTCCTTTTCTTTACTGAATTTTCAATATGGCTTAGGAGCTGTGATGATTTTTATGCATTTAAATAATTGGAGTGATTGTGAACACATGATTTGCTATTTTATCAACTCTAAA